GCAGAAACTCGACTGGGCCGCACACTACTCGCAAGCCTCATCAGCAGTACACGCCGATATACGAGTAGTTAACGTTGCCATTCGGTACAGTATCCGGCGGGTTCTTGCGCACAGTATTTGAGTTATGTGGCAATGATATCCGTGAGGACCAAGCTTGTTTTCACCTTAGCCGGGACCTATGCATTGCAGCTTCAGTTCCCGAAGGACATCAGCACTAAGAGCTTTTAAGGGCTGTAATTTTAATTGACTTAAAAAGCTGCTTTTGTTTTACTGCTTGGTAAGCGTCATGGTTTCTGACCACCCCATGGATTACGTGCAAGCCTTAAAAGTTGTTGGGCCTTATAACTCTTCGCGCCAGAATGGCTATTTGGTTGCCATTAGCTTTCAAGGCTGTTGTGAGTAGGCTGTGAAGCCTACCCACTGGAAACTTCCCCATCTTTACGAAGCTCTCAGGCATTTGAACTCGGCTACCAAGAATGCCGATGGTATCACTCTTTTCATATAGAATCTCTCAGAGGCAAAAATAATGATAAAATACAACTTATTTGGAAGCGTGACTAGTCTTGCCCTGGACTAGCCTCCCGCTTGCGGATGAGCAGGCTGATGTGCTCGGTAAATTTACTTACAGACAGCCTGATTAATGACCCAGAATATATTCCAGTTTGAAAGATCAGAAGAACCCATGGAGTCTTGGTATCATCAGCCCCGTAGAATCGAGTTTACAGCGCCACCGTACAGCTTATAATATCCTATTGATCCAAAGACTATCCACGACAATAGGGCTTTGCGAGTGTTTTGGGGAATATCNATGCTTAGTTCGTTGAATTCGTTGTAAAGGAATATACCCATACAAAGTTGATGAACTGACCCTAATGAGCAGTGCATTCTACCTCTTCCGTGGCATCCTCGTGTGGGAAGTTGCCCTCTCATTGTAATCATTTATTTATGAAGTGGAACGGGTCTACACGTAGACTGTCGATGACTTGGTGAAAAATGTGGAAGTACGAAGGTATGGAGCAGTCCAGTTCCTGGAATGGAATATCTAGAGTGGACAAACCACCTATTAGCGACGCTTGAAAACCTAAGCCACTCAAGCGTTTAGTGTTAATGCGCATTAGAACCACAGTTGCCAAGATTTCTCAACTATCAGTAGGTGGTTGGTCGTCACTAAGCCACACCACCCCGCCTGATATTTTCACGTTGATATTAGCTTCGAGTGAGGTTTGGAGGAAAAGCCTGATAAATCTTACCTTTATGCACGGTTTTCAGTCAGCGGTTTGAATTGAACTGTGGTTCCTGGGAATCTGTGTCACTAACTCCATTCGGCTGTTTTGCTGTTATAACTTCAAAAGCTGTCTCACTTGGCTGGGGCGCGTTTGAAGGTGGATTGCTATCTGAGCGCTCACCCAGACGAGCATATCCTCTGGGATCGATCGCTTATGAGATGCTTCACAACCATCTAAGTAGTGGTTATCTGCTGCGATCGCGGTGAGCGTCTTGCTTCCACTATGCGTCCAGTGCTACCTGGAACAATCCCCAACCCGATACTCGCACAACTCAACAATATGTGGCTACCTTATTGCGACATCACGAGAAAGTGACTGAGAGAGAGCTATGAAGTCTGAAAGATGATTCCTCCAATCGAAAAATTAATATATATATATATCTATGGAAAAAGCAGTCTGCCTTTCCTCCAAAACTGGAGGTTGTAGCACGTTGGCCATGAATTTGCACATGTTGTTCGTTCGGCGGTTGAACGTGCCCGTCTGCCAGTTTATTAAATATAGTGCAAATATGAGCAGAACTCTCTAAGAACACGATGCGGCTCAGAAAACGTTCGTCATCTACAGCACCACTCGGTATGAGACCTCTGCAGGTTGTCACTTACTCCGCCCAGGTCGGAACTTCAAGACAAGCTGGTAGATTCGGCATCACTTCCGAGCATGCTTCTTCAAGAACATCCAATTATTCGCCGTCTCAACCATCAGATTTACGGGCCATGGGCTCAGTTTGGGATAAACGGAACAGCCTTCCTCGGGCCGGACAAGCGGGAAGCATTGTTTATCTGCACAGTTATTCACTCCTCAATCATTCTATCTATTCTACAAACTGACGTTCCCGGGTCATCATGCAGCCAGTCATATGAACGATGTGGTTTATCGAACCCATCGCACTCTAGTAGCGAGCAAAACACGCTGAGTTATTTACGAGATCTTTTCCACGCATTGGCCAACACAGTCGCCGCTGGCTATTCGCACAATGAACCGCTGACTTACGTTACCTTATGATAAAAAATCGCGAATTGTGGAAAAGGTTGGCTCACATACAACGAAAGTGACTTTCAGGTATTTTTCTTTTCCAACAGATTTTCTCAACATTTCAGAATCTAAATGTCCTTTGGAGATGCAACATATGCGTAGGCGCATTCGTGCAAAAAATTTTGGTCGATGATTATTTGTTGCCAGTAAAAATTCCGTAGTGCACGCTAATTATTTGCTAAACATCGTGCACGTTGGCTGGCAAATTACAGAGTTTTTCATTATAGGTTCCAAATTATGCTAGGAAG